TTCATGAATTGCTTTACTAGTCACTAACTAGTTCTGTTTGCCATAGACCTTTTACTAGGAGCAATTAGACCTCGATATACTGCTCTAATTTTGTGTGAAAGTGTTGAGAGATGCAAAGCTCCATTACTGCTGCTTCTCTATTTTTCTCTATAAAGTATCTATACTTTTCTAACTGCGATGGCCAAAATACCCTGTTCATAACATTAGAGGAATTCTCTTGATCTCTTTTAGATGGATTTATGTGCTTCCGTTCAGCACATTAGAGGAATTCTCTTGCTCTCTTTTCATCTTGTGATTCTTATCTCTAGCTCCCTCCCACATTCTGGGATTCAACAGACCATGATCCCATACGAACTTGATTGTTGTGAAATCATCGAGGTGGAATTCTTAGAAATGTGACTTACCACAAACATAAAATAAAAGGTGGAGTTCAAATTGGTTCCTGACATTTTTTAAGATGGCCATTTTACTTAAGTTTCCTTTGGCCTTCTGATTTCATGTGCTACAATGACGATTTTCATTTCTTTTGATCTCATGTAGCCACTATGAAGACTACTTCAAACGTTCCACTTTTTTTCAATCCTTTTTTCATTACCAGGCTTGGGTTTTTCTGACTATATCTTTGATATATGTCCCCTAACGACCAAACACAAACATAGCAACAGTCCATGAATACAAAATCATGTTATATTGATACTTAGCAGTCCATAAATAAAACAACCAAATAAACTGTGACCTGCCCAACCATTGTCTTATCATTTACCCATCAAAAAAGAAATATATCTCATCACATTTCCAAAAAAGAGAAAGAATCTCATGTATTCTGTTTGATATCCCTTACAGTTTAGCGGCAAAACTGTCGGAATAATAGGGTTAGGCCGGATTGGGCTAGCCATCGCCAGAAGGGCTGAAGCATTCGGTTGCCCTATCACCTACTACTCAAGATCGGAAAAACCCGACTTCAGAAACTACAAGTATTACTCAAACGTGACCGAACTTGCCACCAATAGTGACATACTTGTGGTCGCATGCCCTTTGACTGAAGAGACACACCACATAATAAGCCTGCAAGTAATAGAAGCCTTAGGACCGCAGGGTGTCCTTGTAAATATTGGTCGAGGAGCACTTGTGGATGAGCCTGAGATGGTAACTGCACTGCTTGATGGTCGACTAGGTGGGGCTGGGATTGATGTGTTTGAGCATGAGCCTGAGGTCCCAATGGAGCTCTTTGGGCTCGACAATGTGGTGCTTGTGCCTCATGTTGGTAGTGCTACTTGGGAGACTCGCAAGGAGATGGCAGACTTAGTGCTCGGAAACCTTGAGGCCCATGTATTGAAGAAGCCACTGCTCACAGCTGTTGTTTGAAGTTGTATCTGTGCAGTTCTGCATTACTTGTGTTCTGATTGATTGTTGGTTGTGTAATTGAGCACTTCTGAATGATTGAAACTGTCATTTAATGGTCAAATTAATCATGGCTTGGTGATTATTCTTGTCAATCAGTATTTTTGTGATTTGAATTGTCAGTTAATTGTGAATGAATTGGAGCATGATTTGTGGTCTACCATCTCGACCGCCACTATCATGAATACGAAAAAGTATGAATGTTGGGCCTAAGAGTGATCATCTTGTCCCTATTTTTTGGACCATTCGTTTCAATTCTTCAAAGACCATCTGATCTAAACTTTCTTTGGAGTTCCAAATTCATGAATCTGAAGTAGAAATGAATTTGCAGTAATTTAGGATGTGTTTCAAGTCTCAAAACCCTTAAAAACGACAGCAGACTCATTAGCTAGTGGATTCACCAAAAACTTTTCCCCTTATAAGACAGCCCACTGAGCGCTAAAGGGCCTTAGCCCCAAGCAGGCACCTAATGACATGGCCAAGGCATGGATTGAAGATATGCCTGAAATTTGAAATTTTCGGACTTTCAATGGTTGGCCGCCATAGGTTGCAAGGGTTCATGACCTGAAACACATCTGAAATGCAAATAAAATTTTGCCCAAATCCATGAATTTAGAGCTCTAGATTTCGAGGATAGTGTTTTTTTGAAAAGTTGAAATGAATAGTTTGCAGAAAGTTCCTTAAAAACAAATAGAAGCTGGACTATTCTAAGACCTTGCTCCTCTGTTGTTTTTTTCAATTCAAATTCATGATCAAATGGTCGAGACGATGATAGTCCTGTATTATTCTCATGCGGATCATGATCTGCATGACCATACATAGGGTCATTAGTTTCATCAGTGTACAAAGGGATGTTTTAAAACCCAGTTTGTGGGTTTTGGGATGGTATGGTCCTGGCCCACTTCCCCTCTAGAATTCCCCCTTATATGTTTTTTTCTTTCTTTTTAAGTTTATTTAATATTCTTTTACGTTCTCCCGAAATCCCCACCCTATAAACTTTTGTTTTGATTTTTATTTTGTTTTATTTATTTTTTAATATTTTCTGTATCACTGATTCAGGCTCAATCTAAATTGCCGATCTAATAATACGGCATGGATTTGTGCGTGAAGATCTGCCCGGGTTTTGAAACAATGGTCCAAATCCAAAGTATTGACATGGATAGAGAATGGACTCATTAGTAGTGAGAAGATGAAGTGACCCAAGTGATGGTCCTTAGTTCCCTCCATTGTTAATTTGGACAGTGATGACACTTGGACCGTAGTTGCTTTATGATCCTCTAGACCATGGCACATTTCCCCTATTATCAGCATATAGTCACGTGTATGTTTGAAAATAAAAGTGAATCAAAGTTATGATGCCATGTGGTCGGTTTAAAACTTACCACAAGATTTATATTATTTTCATCAGTAACTCACATATTTTTAATTTAGAGAATAAATAGAATAATCAAACTTCCTCCAAAAATTACTATGATTATGTGTCCAAAATATTGGATGGCAGGACAAATCGGCCATCTAGAAAAATCGGCAAGGGTTGCGAATAGCCAAACCAAATCGACGAATTGGAATGATTCTTGGTGTGAGGATTGATCTATAAAAGTAAAAAAGTATAATGTGTGGAGTCGGGTGATCTAGCAATTCAGATCGTCCAATTCTTTAATAGACTCGCCTAATTCCCAGACAGAGTTTAGAGGCATCCACGAGAAGCGGACCAATTCTTGGTTTTGATCAGAAAGTGAGTGCTAAACTGATTTCCAATCTAGATTGGCATTTTTTGACCCAAGTCATTGGGTTTTAAGTCACTGGTTACTAAATAAAAGCTATTTTATTAGACTTTCTTATGCAACCTTTTTTCTTTTTTTTTTCTTTTTTTTTGTGTGAATTTTAAAGTATATGTTGTACCTGATTTTGTATCCTAGCCAAACTTCTTAGTTTGGGCCGCTTAGTTGGAGATGATGTTAAACTTGGGTCGGCTGGGTGGACAGGTTGGTTACAAAGCCCATTGAATCGGTGATTCTCAGTCCATATTGGTGATTCTCCCAGATGTAGAGAAAATGTAAAAGATATGTAAAAGATTTTCTACTCCCGCGGGAGTATATTGTCCATAATGTTTGGATCTCAAATTTTGGAAGTGTAATCTCTATAACCTATAGATTAATTGCAGGATAATTTTTTTTGAGAGAAACTCTCTATACATTAGAAAAACAACATGCCTCTAGATTGAATGGAAACTGTCTGATTTTTTAAAGGCTACATCTAAGTGTCACAAAATTCAAAATTCTTCTTTTGAAAATAATCATATGGTAATTCTTATGTGGTTTTCAGAATTTTATATTAAAACAATCTTCCTTTTGAGTAAGAGAGTTGATGCACAATATACTCCCACATGAGCATAGTATACGTGCTCTATCGAGAATATCAAAATATTATTTCTATATTTTAAAATAACTAAACATATTAAAAAATAAATTGGGTGAGAAGTAGGCGTATGTGGAGCACTAGCTAAGCTCACAGACTTGCGAGCTTCTCAAATAGAATTAGATGAATCCCTCTAAATCAACTTGATTCCTAGTTCCGAAAGGAACCGAGTTGGTCCCCGCTAATCCAAATCCAAATTATCGATTTTTTAAACATTGATTGAAGGAAACTTACTTTCAAAGAATTATGAAAATATTCTCACTTCTCAAAATTTTATGATTCTTTCTAATAAAATAACTAAGCAAAGTCGCATAATCTTTCTTAAGAGCAACAATTTCCCGATAAATTGGTTGATTTGACCATTTGATTTTTTTTAGATGGTCTGGCAAAGGTGGATTGCTTTGGTAAATTAATAATTTACATTAGTATAGAAAGCATGGACCTCTTGGCAAGTACTTACATGAGCTGCATGACTTTTTGATTCAATCACATGAATTGCATATGGATTACCATCAAAGGAAAGAACAATGTTAACTCTCAGGCAGAATTTCCATTGAAAAGCTCTCAAATGGATGATCATGAGCTCAACTATTATAGATCCAAAAATTAAAAAGACTTTAAACTTTATATCTTGTAACATATTATATGGATTGTCTATTTTCAAAGCGTTTACGGTTCCAAAAAACTTGCATCATTTTTAGAGCTTCAGAGTTTAAAACTAGGGGCAGAAATAGGTTCTAGACTTATAGGAAACTTATTTATTTTTATTATTGGGCATCTTGCTCCAATTTATATTGGATAAATTATCTTTATATCTTAGTTTTGGAATGTGGGATTCCATTTCATTTTTGAGAAAGTTAGGTCATTGAGAAGAAATTTACTGTAATTCCTCATTTATCTATGCTCAATAGAATGATTCTTAGCACTAATCAAGGAAGTGTGTAGGCAAGAGGAAGGAGAGAAGAGAGAGTAACTTTGAAATGGCATATTGAAGATAATCACCCTGTTGAGAGATAGTTGTAGATAAATCTTGATAATTCGTTTTAATGTTTAAAAGATCATCAAGCTGACCATTTACACGCACACAAAAAACAACTACTACCTAGTCAAATCAGAATTGCTCGATTATTAGTGAGGGTTGATATGTTTCTTTTACATGGAAATTGTCAGAGTCAACATACAAAATTGCACAACATTTTTGCATTTTATAGTTTTGGTCATTTTTCTCCCAAAAAAATCTTGCTTGCTGTCTTTTTTTCATCGATCTACAAGACTAATTCTTTGTAAATAATATTCTTCCATTTCATATTTTTGGCAATTTTTCTCTCAAAATCTTGATTATAAAGTTTTCTCATAGATCTACATGATCCATGCGTCGTTCCTACGTATCTCATAAGTTAAAATTTTCGATCATAAAATAACGTTTTATTGAAGAACTCACCCAGTTCCATTTATTGAAGGACATCTTATTACATTCGCTGAATCACCTTCGATTATTGTCCTCCCATTTATGGTGATCCAGTTTCTAAGCCACAATTTCCTCAAACTCCAAAAAAAAAAATGTAAATGGACCTGGACCCGACCCGGTACCTGAGGGGTAGACCTGATCCGGGTCCGAATATGGGTCCAAAATTTAAACCAGGCAAGTCAGATCCAAGTCCAAATCTTAGACCCGAATACTATTTGGATCCAGGTCCAAATCTTGGAATTAAACACTATTCAGGTCCCGTAATATTTTTTAGGTCGTAATTTATGAAATATATTTAAATATAAATAAATGCATAGATATTTTAATTTTTTGATTGGGTCCCATCAAGTCGGGGTCCAGGTCCCACACCATACTTTTAGGTCTAGGTTTGGATCCCACACTATAGTTTTAGGTTTGGGTCCCAATCCGATGAATTCGGCACCAGTCACATTTGGGTTGGTCCCATATTATATTTTTGGGTCTCGGTCAGATGAATTTAGGACTGGTCAGATCCGGGTCCAGGTCCCATATCATTTTTTCTGAGTCCTAGGTCCCATATCTTTTTTTCGGAGTCCTGATTTGGGACTGTGTCCGGGTCTGAGCCTAGGTCCGGGTCAAGATATTTAAATAATAAGAATTTCAAAAGAACATATATTCAATCTATGTGCCTTTTACACTTTCATTTTTCTCTCACTTCGAACCGGCTCTCCGCAAGTCGGCTATCCAAGTTGGGTGCAAATCCTGGGTTTTCAAACACAGGTTCTGCCTGAGAGAGAGATGCTCTACTTAAGATACATAAGAATTGTTTACTCATATGAGAATTCATACATAAAAGGACACCTTTTCTATACTTGACCAGATTTACACAGGGTTCGATAAAAAAAAATGTCAAAAAAGATCTATAGAAGAAAGTTGTAAAAAAAAAAAAGGGGCAAATAAAGAAGAAAAAACTAAATCTATGCAGAGGCTGCTTTAAATATCAAGAAATTAAGAGTCTCTAGAGCAAAATAAATAAAAGTGCCCTGAGAATGTGTGAAAAAGCAACCGAAATTTGATCCCACAACACATTGCCATCCTGAGCCATAAACCTTGTCAAATTCCTGAAAATAAAACACAAGAAAATTAGTAAAAATAGTAGTAAATGCAAAAAAAAAAAAAAAAAAAACACTAGAGTTATGACCCCTCATTGGGTTATTTCCTTCTTATGACCCTAAAAATAAAGTTTTATGGTACATAGGTCTCTCTTTTTCAATGGGAAAAGAAGTCATGAAAGGGAATCAAGGAAATGTATACAATGAGGCCGTTAGAATTTTCATAAAAACAGATGATCAAGCACTAGAGTTAGAATTTTCATAAAAAACAGACGATCGAGCACTAGAGTTAGAATTTTCATATTAAACAGATGATCAAGCACTAGAGTTAGAATATTCATAAAAAACGGATGATCAAGCACTACAGTTAGAGTTTTCAAAAAAAACAGATGATCAAGCACTAGAGTTAGAATTTTCATAAAAAACAGATGATCAATCACTAGAGCTAGAACTTTCATAAAAAACAGATGATCAAGCACTAGAGTTAGAATAGCTGCAAGTAGGTAAAATATTGAATAGTTCCACTCATATGGGTCATCATCATAGCTGGGGTGGCAGTTCCACTCATATGGGTATTTTGATAAATTTCTAAGTCAAAAAATTTGATAAAATGTTAAATAATTCATCTAATATGCACATTTTTATAAATTTTCACCTGAAAAAGCCAATTCATGAATTAAAAGTTAGATGTCAATAAAACCATGGCCTAAAGTGTCAAAAAATTAGTATTAAATCCATAATAAAACCCCAAAATTATAATCAATCAAGATGGGAAAAATACCCCAAAACTCATAAAGCATCTCTCAATAGATAATCAAATACCCCAAAGCCCTTTAGATCCCCAAATAAACTCAAAAATCAAAACTAATAACAAATAAAAAAAAATTCATAAAGCCAAAACCCTTAAATCCCCAATAAATTGTTTTTAAAAATAATAATTTCTCCCTAAAATACCCCGGAAAACCATATATACAGTATTATTTAGCTTGTAAAAAAGGAAATTTTACTCTTAAAAAAATTCCACAAATGCAAAAAGTAAAGGAAAAAAGCAATATTTAGCATGAGAAAAAAGGAAATTTTTATCACAAAAAAAAAGAAATTTTATTTGAGGAAATGGTTAACGTTTTATTTATAGTATAATACTCTTTTCTTTTTTTTTGAGAAAATGAAATTTTTATTGTTCAAACAAAGGATTCTCCTGCAAAAAAGTATAAAAAAGAAAAAAAAGAAGAAGAAGAAGAAGAAGAAATTTGATGTTTTTATCTTAAAAAAGTTACAGCTTCTGCAAAACAAGTCAGTACTTAACCTAAGAAGAAAAAAAATTATGGTTAAAAAAAAAATATCTTCTGCTGTAAAGAGAAATTTTTTTTTACCTTTTTAATATAGGCTGCCATGCTTTTGCAGTCTGAGACATCGTAAAGATCCAGAGCTCGAGAAGCAGTGTTCATGGCGTGTATCTGCATCTTCACAGGCATGTCCGTGTCTTGGACTAGGGCCTTGCCTTCCAACATTTTCTCTCTCTTCTTTCTTTTTAACTTGGGGTTGGATAAAATGTGAAGTTTTCAGACTAACTTTACCTTTTAGAGAGAGAAAATAGTTATAAAACCGGGTTTAGTGGGCTCCCCAGTTTCTGACTTTTTACCTGGAGGGTGTTTAATGGCGCCCTGGAAGTTCTAGACGTGGCACGAGCTCCAAAGCTCACCTCTGCGAATGCAATGTATCTTTGCCTCTCTAGATGTTCAGAATCAAGCTCCTCTCTCTCTCTCTCTCTAGATGTTCAGAACAACGCTCTCCTCTCTCTCTCTCGTCGTTACGTAGTATAGACGCTCTCTCTCTAACGTAAAACTAAACTACTATACTACGTCGTCGTTACGTAGACGACGAACGACTCCTTCCTTCCT